GCACACGGGGCAGGGCACACGGGGCAGCGCACACAGGGCAGGGCACACGGGGCAGGGCACACGGGGCAGGGGACAGGGCACAGGGGACAGGGCACACAGGGCAGCGCACACAGGGCAGGGCACACGGGGCAGCGCACACGGGGCAGCGCACACGGGGCAGCGCACACGGAGCTGCCCCACCGCGCGGCCGGCTCTCTCTCGGGAGAGCTCTCTGGCTCATTTGCAAGGCGAGGCAGGCACTGCACATGCCCGCGGTGCCGCTGCCGCTGGGGGCAGCTTTACATAAGGCTGAGCCCGCTGTCGGCCCGCCCCAGTCGGCCGGAGCTCTCGGCATGCGAGCGCGGCAGCGCCGGAGCCGCGTCCCGGGCCGGGCTCCCCGCACCTGCCGCGCCCGGCCGGCAGCGAGCCCGGGGCTGCCAGCATGCGAGCCCGGAAAACAGCAGTAGAAATGCCGCCTTCCTAACTAGAAACATGCTAAACCGTAATATCCGTGAAGATCCCATTACCTAGGAAGATTTTTGACGTTTTTGCTGCGAAGGCTGTGTTGGGATTGATTTATCCTTGGAGTGTTCTGCACGGCTGGCAAAGAATAATGTTCCAAAATCGGTCCGTCTCCCAAGGGGTCCAATTTTTCTTCCTGGGTGTCAGCGAGCCCTGACTCACTACGGTGCAGCTGACAGGGGCTGCCATGCTTGTGGCACACTAAGCAAAAAACAAAAGACCTAAGGACGACCTTTGAACAGCACAAAGGATGGGTATGTTTTTCACGTTATCTTTTTAATTTATAGTTCATAGTTACTGCATAGCCTGTGCTTTAATTACTCCATAGACTTACATTGATGTGATTTCTTATTATGCTTAAATGGCTTAGGGATTACACCTTTTACCCGACTGTTTTTCAGTACCTGTAGCAAGGTATTCTTAAAAGACCAAAAAAAAAAAAAAAAAAAAATAAAATAAAAAGAAGTAAAAAAGAGAAACACAAAAAAATAAAAAAAAAAGCCACTGTGAAAAGCAGTCGAGTTGAGCTAGGGCTTTGTAAATGATTGTTAAGTAGAAGATTTTAGCATGATTGAAAGAAATGACTGATGTGTGGGGGGATAACTTTTCTAAGTTGTTTTTATTTCCAGGTTTCAATGTAATTAGGCTACTGAGCGGATCAGCTGTAGCTCTGGTAATAGCCCCTACTGTATTACTGACAATGCTTGCTTCTGCTGAACGAGGATGCCCTAAGGGCTGTAGGTGTGAAGGCAAAATGGTATATTGTGAATCTCAGAAATTGCAGGAGATTCCCTCAAGTATATCTGCTGGTTGTTTAGGTTTGTCCCTTCGATATAACAGCCTCCAAAAACTAAAATACAATCAATTTAAAGGTCTTAATCAACTCACCTGGCTCTATTTAGACCATAACCACATCAGCAATATTGACGAAAATGCTTTCAGTGGAATACGCAGACTAAAAGAGTTGATCTTGAGTTCCAACAGAATCTCCTATTTTCTTAATAATACCTTCAGACCTGTGACAAACCTCCGGAATTTGGATCTGTCATACAATCAGCTGCAGTCTCTGGGATCTGAACAGTTCAGGGGCTTAAGGAAGCTGCTGAGTTTACATTTGCGCTCCAATTCCCTAAGAACCATCCCTGTTCGAATATTTCAAGATTGCAGGAACCTTGAACTGCTGGACCTGGGTTATAATCGCATCCGAAGTTTAGCGAGGAATGTCTTTGCAGGTATGATCAGACTGAAAGAGCTTCATCTGGAGCACAATCAATTTTCTAAGCTCAACCTGGCACTTTTTCCAAGGCTGGTCAGCCTTCAGAACCTTTATTTACAGTGGAATAAAATCAGTGTGATAGGACAAACTATGTCCTGGACCTGGAGCTCGTTACAAAGACTTGATTTATCTGGCAATGAAATAGAAGCTTTCAGCGGACCCAGCGTTTTTCAGTGCGTGCCCAATTTACAGCGCCTCAACCTGGATTCAAACAAGCTCACATTTATTGGTCAAGAAATTTTGGATTCTTGGATATCTCTCAATGACATCAGCCTTGCCGGGAATATATGGGAATGCAGCAGAAACATTTGCTCTCTGGTAAACTGGCTTAAAAGTTTCAAAGGGCTGAGGGAAAATACAATTATCTGTGCCAGCCCCAAAGAGCTGCAGGGGGTGAACGTTATCGATGCGGTGAAAAACTACAGCATCTGTGGCAAGAGCACCACGGAAAGGTTTGAGCTAGCACGAGCTCTCCCAAAGCCAACGTTTAAACCAAAACTCACCAGGCCTAAACACGACAGCAAACCCCCTCTGCCCCCGAGCACGGGGGCCACGGAGTCGAGCTCGGAGCCCGAGCACGACACGGAGCACATCTCGTTCCATAAAATCATAGCGGGCAGCGTGGCTCTGTTCCTGTCTGTGCTGGTGATCCTGCTGGTGATCTATGTGTCGTGGAAGCGTTACCCTGCCAGCATGAAGCAGCTGCAGCAGCGCTCTCTCATGAGGAGGCACAGGAAAAAGAAAAGACAGTCGCTGAAGCAAATGACTCCGAGCACACAGGAATTTTATGTAGATTACAAACCTACCAACACTGAAACCAGTGAGATGCTGCTGAATGGAACGGGACCCTGCACGTATAACAAATCAGGCTCCAGGGAATGCGAGGTATGAACCATTGTGATAAAAGAGCTTTTAAAAGCTGGGAAATAGTGGTGCTTTATTGAACTCTAGGGACTATAAAGGGAACGTTTCTCTCACTTTTCTGGCACAGCTCTTCCATGTCCCTTTTTTTGTACATTCATAATACTGGTCATTTTACTCTCATACATAATCAACTCATTGAAATTTAAATACCGCAATCAATGTGAAGCCTGAGCTCTGGTTTAATACAATACCTATTGTACAAACCCTCTACTGATTTCATTAAACTCTCTCCTGTTTTTAAATAGAAAACTTCTTTCCTAAGTAATCCACTGCACCTGCACGAACTGTGCCTCTGTTTAGGGAGAAAAATGACAACAATGAAAAAAAATAATTATAAAGACAAAGTCAGGGTGTCCCCCTCTGCCTCCCCAACCCCAGTCCTTGCTCTAAAACTCACTTTTTGAGCCCAGAATGAAGTAAAGACCCAGGTACTGTAGCATCATATGAATTCTGAGTTGTCTGAGGATAGAGATGGTGCAGGAGCAGCTCTGAAAAAAATGCCTGTTTGCTGCCCAGCACAAGAGAGACTAAAAAGCACCCTTAGGTATCACACCAGAGGCAAAGCAGAGGGAAACCTAGGCTTAATAAAAAATTAAAAATGAAAAGGTACAGTGGGGTTTTCCTGTAGTGCACTATAACACAGTGTTTCTAGGGCTGATAGCTAGCAATTGGAACCTGTTTGTGTGACTTCATACAAAAGGTGCCAGTGTTTATCCCTACATCCAGTTGCCTTTCAGAAAATAGTCAAAAGGCATTCATTAGATGAGGAGCAGAAATTCCTTACTGATGCAATTAGAGGAACTCAAATGTGCAGCAGCAAAAGCAAGACCACTTCCTGCACACATTTGTTTCAGCTCTCATTAGGAATTCTCTTTTCAAGCCTGTCAAAGGCATTAATGTAGCTGAGGAAACCATTAAAATCCGTCATTTTCCTCTATTTCTGTTTATTTGCTGGGCTAGGCTTGCTAAGGTTCTGTGTTATGTTTTGCACAGGGTCCCTCCAATAACTAAATAAAGCTTCATCACTTAAAATGCCAAACACTCTGCATTTTAGACATACTACAGCTGCAAAGAGCTTTCAGAGAAAACTGGTTACTCACTGGTGTGAGAGGAGTACACCCAAAATTCCTTTTACATAAATCAGTGACAAATCATTTTTCTCTCTTACCAAAACCCTAATGACATTTCAGAATTCACAGATACTCAGTTTTAATGTCTTGTCATACCCCAGTGGATCGGGGAAAAATACAGATTTGTAACCCAGCTGTTCCCTGCCTTCCTTCTCCCCAAATAATATATTTTGTGGCTGCAGAAGAATATAATCCCCCCCCATAATTGCAAATAAATCATATTTTGATTATCAGGATTATCAGGAAGGGAGGGGATGAAATAATACAGCAGCACCTTTATAGAATATAGAAGCCAGTAATTTAATTATCTCAATTTTGCAACTGGGTTTGGCTTTGTAAACCCCACCTGGGAGGGAATATTTATACAGGGCTGTTTCACTGCAGCAGATTAGGAAAAGCAAAACCTTAGCAGAAGGTTCTCCTGAATTGTTACTGGAAAAAACCCAATCACAGCTGATCACCTTGAAACATGCTTGATACAATGAAAACAAAGCTAGAAAAGAGCTAAACACACCTGGAGGGGTTTGGGGTGCTGTCTTTTTTTTTTTTTTTTTTCATGGAATGAAACCATTGTCATTTTCAAGGAATGCAGTGAGGGAATAGCTGAGGGTGGAAGCTGAGCCCTACAAGAGATTTCCCATTTCCCTGGGTACAAGGCCCCCACACCATTAACAGTGAAGTGCTTGAGACACTTGAGCAGCAGAGCTGTGCCTGAGCTGGACCTTGGAAGCTGCTATTAAAAAGTCAATATACATTTAATTATCTCAGCTACCACAGGATTCCCTTTTCCACCAGCACATCTTGGTTATCTCTGTGCTGAAGGATTAGAGTTTGCTATAAACTTCACGTTCAGAACCATCCCTGTACTTCAGAGGCTTTCATCTCTGCAGTGTGACTAACATTAGGCACAGCCAAAACACGAGAGATTTGCCCCAAAACATGTGTATGTTCATATAGACAAACACACATGTGTGTACAAATATAAATACATATAAAATTAAGATTTTATATTTAGTTTTAGGAGTTCTAACTGCAATCAGAAAATCATTTCATACCATTCCTTTAGAATTTTTGTTATGCAAAAATATTCAATACATCTTCTAAAACTTCTTACTGTACCGTGATTGTGAGAGTGGTCTGTAATTGGGTTGGACTTTATATGCTTTCTTTTGTGTTTCTTTAATGCCATTTTCTAAACATAACTGCTCAGAAGGAACCAATCCACAATCTCCTTCAGAAAGTGATACCTGTAAAATCATCACCAGCTCCCTTTGAAAAATACTCAATTATAGGCATGAAAAAGAAAATAAGGCCAGTCTGCCATTTACCATGGATGGATAAAACAGGATAAAAATAGAGTAAAACTCCAGCATCTCCATTCATGCACATTGTCAGCTAATTCCTGCATTGCCTGGAGAGGCCAGCTGCAGGTATTGCCAAGCACCTGGCAGTGTGGGGTCAGTGTGTAACTGCACAGCCCAAGGCCTGTGAGCCAAGCTTTGGGATCCCATTCTAGTTCCTGTGCCTTAGGAATCCTCTTCAACCAGCCTTAAAACTCATTGTGAACTCCATGTTTTCACATGGGCAAAACCCACGTGAACCCAGCTAAACTGAGCCTGGCCACTGCCAAATGAAACACTCCAAGAGCGACTGGTCCCCAGAGTCACCAATTCTCATCATCTTGTGGGAATGACTTTGGTCTCAGCTGAGCAACTTGGAGTCCCTGTGCAAGGCTGCCCCTCTCCTGACTGCAAATAAAGCCTCAAAGGCTCCAGCAAAGAAATTCCTCCTTTGCTTCTCTCCTGGAACTAAAATCTTGATCCCGCTTTGTCTTGGTTTTTTTGGATGGTTTGGTGCCAGTCTCTCCCAAAATTGTTAAAAGCTCGCTGGGGTGATGCCAAGCAATCCTCAGAGGATGTCAAAGTAAGAGCCCCAGCAGCAGCTGTGACACCTCCCACAAAGCTGGGAGCCTTCACAAGCACTGCAGGCACCACCGTGAGGAAGGAGATGTGACTGAGTGCCTTCAATGACCTGGCTCCTCCTTAATGGAGCTGGCACCACCTAAATATTGAAATTTCAGGAGAGCAGCAACGGGTTTTGAGGATGTTTGCAATTTTATTTTTGTTTTTCTGTACGTTTTTGGGGTTTTTTAGTAATTTACTATTCCTTTTCCCGAGAAGTGTGTGGTGTTCTGGGGCTACCACTGAACACCAGGGCTTTTCAAGCTGCACACAAGTGCAGGATTCTTCCATGCCCATTGTCATTTTCACTGGGTTTGCATCCACCTGCATTCTCGAGACAAATGTCAGATGGAATCACCAGACTGCTTCATTTTATTGTAGCACCCCAAAAACGTTAAGGGCAGTCTGACTTTCTCTGTGAGACACAGAGATGATGGCAAAGAGATCTGAGAGATGTGAGGTCATTTTTTGGGTCTCACCAGCAGTGCAGTCCAGTCCCCTGCACCAAGACATCCTCCTCCTCCTCTTCCTCCTCCTCCTCGTTTGGCCTCTCAGCCACTCGGCTCCTGGAATATTCAAGTGCAATTTCAGAGCACTACAGCACACAGAACACACTTCTCTGGGAAAAGGAAATAACTAATGTGCTAAGCAAATTTGAGAAGACTGGTAATGTTCATTCACTGTGTTGAGATCACCTCCAGCAACTGCAGAGTAAGAGAATAATAATGAGAACAAGTGGCTTGAGTATAATGACTGCAAGCTTCTCTGCTGGCTGCTTTTCATGACTCACTATCTGCACTTCCAGAGTCATCACAGCTGAAGGCTTGGCAATGCTCTCTTTTCTTATTGATATCAAATGGTGAACCTTGATATAAAATCCAATTGCAAAATGAACATAAATGTACAATATTCCTGCAAATACAATTAGAAATTTTCAGTTTGCTGCAAGCAAATGGTCTTTGCTGTCAGACCTCAGTGCTAGATAAATAGTCCGTGGATGAATTTCTGTGGAACAATAGTGACATCCAGTGGGTAGGGAGCTTAATCACAGGTATCTCCTGCATAAATCAACTCACACAGAGATGTGTTTGCCTTTTCCCTTGGCATCCTTCTGTACCACACGGGAGAGGCATCAAACTCTCGCAGCACAGTGATTTCTGAAGTGGGTCTTTGCACAGGAGCCATAACCCACATGCAGTGAGGACATGGAGAAAACAGGAGCAGATGAAAGCTGCCAGGGAATGGTCTGGCCAGTGTGTCAGTCACTACTGCCAGCAAAAGTGTACAAGGGCAGGAGCTCTAACAGGTTTGTGGCCACTGATTTAAAGCTTATTATTTATAAAACACCCCTTTACTAGACTAGAAAATAAATTCAGGCCACAAACAACTCATTCAACTTCCTAACAACAGAAAACTAAAGAAAGTAATTTTTTTTAGTTTATTTTTATCATAATGAGAGACAGATATTATTAGACATGAAAGGAAGGGCAACTCAACACCTGGGAACAAGTCCAAGTTAGAACTTCCTCTCCAAACCACACGATGTCCAAAGAGACGAGAACAAAACGATGCAAGAGCAAATTCCCAAGCAACAGCGAAGTCATACAGTGGCAAACATGACATAAATGTACAGCAGATTTGCTTGGGCAAAACGTTTTGCTGGGTCTGCACCAGGTCTCAGTAGCTCTGGGCCAGTGTTACTGCTGTGATCCTAAAGCACAGTGAAGGAGAGAAGACAATGAAGTCAGGATTACAGCTCTGTTGATAAGACTCAGATTTCAGTGCCCCTAAGAAGGAGCACAGGAACTCATTTCACTCCACCCTGGAGGAAATACAGTTGTAATTGTGACTTCTGATGCCTTCAGGTGCATTGGGAGGTCACTTCCACTGCTAGAGAGGCTTTTGAGAGTGGGGCAGAATGGGATTGTGGTGTGATTGTCTCCTGCAGCCCAACCCTTCCCTGCCATCACCACCAGAACACAGTAGGGCACACCAGCAGTAAAACGTGACTGAGCTCCACAGCTGTGACCTGAGGAGAACACAACACAATAAAAAGGATTTTATCCAATTTTATCCTTTGGGACAATTAGCTATGAGCTGCTGGCCGACGTTTTACCTACCAGAGAATCTGCAAATCTCA